GGACCTGTAACTTTAATCAGGCGCACCCAGGATGAAATGATCATAACAGCAGAGGGTACAAATGAAGAACGTCTTGCTACAAATCGTGCCAATAATCTATTGAAATCACTTCTTCGTGCAAGAAATCCTGATCTAATAAACGATGATACAGAACTAGTAGTGGATATTTGGTTAGCAGCAACTCCGTCGGAACGAATATCGATGGCCAAAAATTGCTCAACGGCGTCAATAATGGATAATGTCGAGAATTTAACCGAACAAAACCGAAACATATTGATATATTGCTTATGCTCGAAATATCTAGTAGATTTTGATTCTAGTCATAACACTCTGCTTGACGTATCTTTATTCACTATACCGTCATAATAATAGATATACCTGCGATAAGTTAAAAAAATGTTAGAGTAAGTGTTAAGGGAAGGCTGGGACTGAATGTAAAGTATTTCTATGCTGGTAGATTTCTAATAGTTTCTGTGTTCTCTCGGTCAGATTTATTCCCATAATGTGATCATAGACTTATGATCTTAATGTTCGTGTTATGCCGTAAAATTTCGGCATTAAACATCAGTTTGAACTGGCATTAATGTTGTTTTATAGCCGAGAAAAAAACTAATGTCTAACGTTGAAATTTTTATTTCATTTCTATAAATAGATATAATGTTTACAGTAGCTAATTACACGAAATACCATTCCTTGAAATTATCATGTGACCAAAGTTTTTATTTTATTTTGAATTTTGCCTCAGGAAATATTTTATTTCTCTATCATCTTTCTACGATAAAATAAATATGACAGCTAAGAATTGCTTTATCGAATATTACTGATTTCAGAAATGTCAGTGAATTTTCCGTCTATATAGAATGGTAATAAAAGAATCAGAATTGATGATGTACTTCTTTTTTGAATATTCTTCTAATTACTTCAAGAAGTTTTTGCATGCCTGTATGTGCAGTTTTAGGTAAATTTCAGAGTGTTAGAATTTTATACGGGTTTTGAGCAATTGTTTAATTGCCTCTGTATGTGTTTCTGCGTCCGCTACTTAACGTATGTAATTATATTGTGTTATTTGATTTCAGATTCAAACTGTGAACTAAGACTTTTTCCTTTCGGCTTGCGCATGTGAAAGCAGTAGAAGGAAAAGTTTGAGCCGTATTATTCCTGAATAAATGTGTAGAAATTTTTGCAATGTTTCATAGTTGTCCTAAAATTCGGTTTCCTTTTTAATTCAATTTTGAAACAAATGTCAAAGTTTTCAATGTCATAATTGGTTATAACAAGTTGTTAAATGTTTCATGCATCTTATTGCTCTCTTTGTTTTGTTTCAGTAAAGATTTGCTGACTGTAATTTGGTATGCATTTATTAAATACATCATCTTTTTAAAATTTTATCAAAGATATGAGTAAATCGCGAAACATTTCTTATTTAAGTAACATGGATGCGATCCTACCAAAATCTATCATATTTTAGCAAGAGTTTCGGGGCCTGAGTGGTCGGATTCTAAGCCTAAATTAAAATCTCAGCTAAAACCTCAAGATCGTATGCAGTGCTAATTTATTTGGCTTTTTTGCGTTAATAATTTTCCTATGTACGTATATAAAACAATTGTTGTGTTTACCAGAGGAGATGAAGATAGATATAATTTTTAAGCCATGAAATCCATCCGAAAAACAATATAGAAATCTTATCAGAAAAGATCATAGGATATCCTCAGTTAACTGCGGATATCTTGGAATGCATGACCTATTTTTAACTTTGCTCGAGGTGGATATTTCAAATAAAGTATGAGACTTCGACATCATATTTTAATCATGGAATGTGATATATTTTGATCATGGAATATGATGTCGGAGCCTCATACTTTTGAATTTGAAATATCTACTTCGAGCAAAAAAATGGGTCATGCATTCCAAGATATTCGCAGTTAACTGAGGATATCCTATGGCCTTTTCTGATAAGATTTCTATAAGATCCTGTTTTTCGGATGGATTTCATGGCTTATATCTATCTTCATCTCATTTAGGCTTAAAATAGTGCAACCTTCATGAAAATGTATTACAAGTAGTGAACTTGGCAAAAACTTTTTTGTTTTCTTTTTAGCGTTAGTTCAATCATTAATAATAAAATTTAGAAGTTTTTATCGAATATATCTATCAAATAAGGTATTATTTTTCACACTTTTCAGTAAATTTTACTATATCAATAGATATTTTATTTTTTTTACATACTTTTATAAAAAAGCTTGAAATTCCA